CGTTCTACACCGTATCCGATTATTTCAGACTCATCAGGTTGATGCTGCGGCGATGAATGTCGCAATCAAACGCTCGTCACGTTGTCAAAAGCTGAGATACTCTGTTGAATGCGGTTCGGCGCTTACAGACGTTCTACAGCAAACCTGATTTATTCAGACGTATTCGAATGATGTGGCGGCAACAAATATCGCACTGAAACGTTCGTCACGCTGTCAGCAGCTGAGATACTAAGTCAAATGGGTGTTAGTGCTTACATACGTGCTACAGCATACTTGGTTAGTTCAGACACCATTCGAATGACGTGGCGGCAACAAATATCGCAATCAAACGATCGTCACGATGTCAGAAGCTGAGATACTAAGTTTAATGTATTTTAGCGCTTTCAGAAGTGCTACAGCATACCTGATTGATTCAGACGCATCAAAATGATGCGGCGGCAGCAAATATCTCATTCAAACGTTCGTTACATTATCAGCAGCTGAGGCACTAAGTCAAAATCGGCGTTAGTGCTTCCAGACGTGCTACAGCTTACTTAAAAATTCAGACACACTCGAATGACGGCGGCAACAAATATCGCGATCAAACGCTCGCCACGTTGTCAGAAACTGATTTACCAAGTTTTATGCATTTTAGCGCTTCCAGACGTGCTACAGCATAGCTGACTAAATTAGACGGATTCGTCAAATGCTGAAGGCTTGGTGGGGGAGAAATAGCCGAACGGCTAGCTGATGTTAGCCCCCTCACTGTCCGTAAGAAGTCGATGACTTCCTGTCTACCGGACTGAGTGTCGAACGTAATGTTCGCGATGCGATGTTTTAAAGCTAAGACATGCAGAAACAAAAAATGGAAACTTTGAGGTCGAAAACCTCGTTCTACTAAATGCTAAAAACTTCCTAAACTTGCCGTCTCTGCTGTCATTAAGACAAAGGTTGCGTCCACGGTGTATTGGACCTTTTAAGGTCAAGACCAAGCGAGGCCTTGCGTACCTTGTGGGCTTGCTTAAGCCGTACCGGGATCCGGTGCAAGTGAACGCAGGAGCGTAGTCGCCGGGGCGGCGCCAAAAGGCGCTCGGCCACCCATCAAGCTGAACCAGCAGCTAATTGTGAGCACAGAGTGCAGCTATTCCTATCTCCAACAGAACCAGGCGGTCCACCGTCGCACGAAGTGTCGCATTCGTCTGCTGACGGCTAGGAGACTCTTTGACAGAGTGCGATAGTCCTCAACGTGAGGCAGTCGGTGCACAAAGTTCTTCAATCTTTCGTGGTCTTTTGCACAGCAGTAAGCGACCTCAGCATGATGCTTAGCGGAGCCTCGATGGTGACGGACCTTGTCCTCAAGGGATCGAAGAGCATCGCGAGTCACCGGGCGGCGATCAACCAAGTCGACATCGGACGATGTCAAGTTTTCTCGACAAGAACGGTTACGTCCAGTATCATGTGGAACGTCTTGTGGATCGACGTCGTGACTTTCGCTGATCAAGTTCAGCTTGTGTAGTGACCGGGTGCCCGACTACGTAGACGCCTAACGATCGAGTGATCGCGTCTTCGCTTCAGTAGCGGGATCCGCCGAGCGGAAGCTGTATTTCAC